ATGTTCGTCGTAATCCTAGAATGTTCGTATCCAATAATGTTTGATGATAATCTACAAATGTTTGATGATAATCCTCAAATGTTTATGATAATCCTTGAATGTATATTATAATCCGTATATAGTGTGTGTTGCAATATATGTTCATATAAAGTCCTCAGGTTGTGTGTTTGTAGTGTTATAAATGTTCCCACAGTATGTGTCTGTAATATTCCGCTAAGAAGATGTCCTTTGATCAACTTTGAAATTCTGCTCTATTTAGTTCCTTTGAGATGTCCAGTTATGATTACTTAATTATCTGCTGATGAGAGCCACTGTGCAGTTCCTTTTATAATGTGAAAGAATTATCCAGAAATGAATCTTCTGGAACTACATCTTGATTGGACATCTTTAGTGACATGATTCAATCTGATTAAATGTTTACTAGTTTCCGAATATTCTAGAAGGTCAAGAGTTAATGAGTCATTCAGTTCAGTTTTGTTTACAAGATACAGTGTATAATGTCATTGTGACCTTGACCTAAGATCTCTAATAAAGAATAGCTCAACATATACAGCAAGCATACATTACAAATTAAACTATAGGTGAATATAGTAGAATATAATATACATGTAGCTCACTACTGTAACACTTGCCAGACCCTTTCTCTCTTGATATGGTAGCTAAAATCCTATATATAGTTTCCATATTTAGCAAAACATGGGAAAATGTTTTAATATGGTCAATATTGATCATTTAAAAATCTAGTGCTTATTTCCAGTGAGCTGCCATCTTTTAAGATTCCTTGCAGGAAGTGATGTCATCAACTCTCAACTTCTATAACCTTGCCCATAACAGTATAGGAAAGTAGCACAAAATCACTTCTAGACAAGTGATCATTACTTTCTGCGCAAAATTATTTTCAGGGCTTGTCAACTTAGAATAAAAGAAGAGATTTTCAGAAGGATTAAATAAGATACAAAGTTGAAAAAGAATATTTAGCTGGTTTTGTAATTCTTAATAGCTCCTCACCATGCTATGTGCAAAGTTGAGAGTCGATGACATCACTTCCTGTGTGAAATTTTAAAAGATGGCAGCTTACTGGAATTCAGCATCACATTTCTAAGTGATCAAATTTGACCATATCAAAACATTTTTGCGTGTTTTGCCAAACATGACAAGCATATATATGGTTATAGCTACCATATGAGGAGAGAGATGGTTTGGCAAGGACACACACGGGAATTTCGCGTCATAATTATTCCTCCGCTTGGTGCGCTGTTGTGCATAGCAACGTCCTATGCAACGTGTATAAACATCGCGCGGACGTATAAGTACAACCCGTCAGTTTTTCATGTTTGCAATGAAATTTTCTATTCAGTTCAGATAGGTGTTACATTATAAACTATGATTTTCTTTCATAATATATATTGTTAGATAGGCATGATACATATCATCGTGTTTCTAAAGAATTGCTTATTTTAATCCTGTTTATTTCAAGTTGATAGGTTCAATATTAGTAAAGTTACGGCTTCACTATGGAGGGGCAATTTCTTCGTAAACTAAAAAAACCGCATCGTCAGCAAAGATTTGACGAAAACACAACATTTTTGCGCCGGTGGCATTTTTTCATTTATGGATGAATCTTTATCAAATTTGAAACATGTTTGAGCTAAATATACAAATTGTGTCTTGGCCGAGGCGGAATTTTAAAATTCAAATTACAATTAGAGAAAAAATAGCTAACATGTGTCAAGTTTTACCGCTGATTTTCGAAAAAAATATGATGTAATTCCTTATAGAGTTGGAAGAAAACGAATTGTTTAAACTGCACAGGATAAAAATATATTAATCCAGATACATGTATGCTTTATATACAAATCATTACATACGTTAAGGGGCATCATCAACTACTAGAAAATCGTGTGTAAAGTTGGACAATATTTGACCCGAATTGACCGGCAAAATGGCCGCGCGCTCGCAGCGCCTCTAGCGGAGGAATAATTATGACGCGATATTCCCGGGTGTGATGAAACGTCTCTCATAAGCCGCACTGGCTGGGGCAGTGTTTTTATGACATTTTAGTACTACTAGTATCTGTATAATAAATCTGCTGTGAGACGAAAAAAAAACTATCGTATTGCTCACCAGAAAGGAAATCACCCTTTGAAGTCAACCGCCATTGTCTTTTTAATGATTTCAAATATTTTATCTAGATCTTTCAACTTGTTATGAGTAATGGATGTTTCAAGTGTCAACAATCTCATATTGAAATATATTGAAATACATTTAACTTTTGAATAACTTTAAATTCAAATATTATACAAGTCTAAACCACAAAACAGAATGTACAATAGAGGCTTTTCCATACAGCTTTGAAATCTCGTTAAAGTCTCGTTTTTAATGAAATTTTAGGAGATCTGCATTTTAACCACTTAAGACTTACATTTTATTCTATTTGATGGCATATTTGAATTCTGTGTGTAATTTTCTATCAAAACAACTTTGATTGTGATATTATTTACCTTAATTCAAATTCAAGAGATTTTCAAGTATTCTAAAAATGGTCGGGCTAAATCCCCATTGACACAATGTTGAAAAACCTTAAAAGTTCATTTTAAGGATCATAATTTTAATGTGAAATCACAATCCACAAAACAGATTTCTCTTACAACAAATGACCTTAGCAAACGAGAGCTTCAAAATCCGCTCATTGATATAAAATAATAACGACGCAATCTGTCCCTAGGTTCGAATATACCATTTGAAAGGTTGGAATGCTAGCTTTAGGAATCTGAACTACTTACAGAGATCCATTTGGTACCAAAGTTGTCTAACAATTTACTTCAAAACATGATTTTCTCAAACAATAACAAAATACTTTGACTAATTCAAACTTTATTAGAAGTTATTCTGATAAAGATTTATTGAATTTTCTATCAGAAATCGCTATGCTCTTTCACGTTACCCATTATTACTCAGATTAACGGCCATGGGTAACATAATTGTTCAATAAAAGTTGGGCTTCTTACAAGACAATTTCTTCCCTAGATAGATAAAATGGTTTTAACAACTGTCTTTCTCTAGGTCAAATAAAATTATTTATAAAAAAAAGAAAATCGCATATCATTCAGGGCTGAAAGAAATTTTCATACCGAATATTTAGCCAGCTTATCTTTGTTCTGCCAAAAACGTTCACTTATTAAAGCAGATAGAAGAAATTAGTGTCATGAATTTTTTGTGTCAAGTTTAAAAAATGCATATCTGTGTAGCTGGGTTATATAAATAATTGTTCATTTTGACTTATTTTTATATGTTTAACCTATTGTATAAAAATAAAAAGCCTTGTTCAATGGTTTAATGTATATTTAGACTTACCTCTTCTTATGTACTTTTAACAAGCTATCCTGATCTGCCTGTCAGGTTTCAGCAAATACATACTTTTTAACGGGGTAATTATATGTATCTGTTTTAAATATATTATTTATATATTCTTCTGAATAGTTATCTATGATGTGAATACAAGTTAAGGTCCAAAATAGTATCAATCAAGCAGAATTTGCATTCATATTGATAGTATGGCTAATAAAGCGAACCATGAATTGCAACTTCTCCTTTATGATGTGTATCCGTCAGTTTTTTTGGCTGAACTATACGGGAGTTGAGGGATTCGATTAAACAGTAAACTTGACAGCCAACTTGAAATGTTGAAATTGATGAAATCTAAAATAACCTTGGTTACATTATACAATGCAGTTATAGAAAATACCGTCTTCTGATTGGCTGGAATCGGACACACCTTGCTTACCTATGTGCGAATTAATCCTTCAGTTTATGTAAGTCGTAAGATAATGAGTAAATGACTAAGCAAAATGTAACACGGGGTAACACCGCTGACTCACCTGGTTATAGACGTGACGTCTTTATAATAAATTGGATGAACTTCCGTCGGACGAAATTATTGTTTTCATCATAATGGCGATCATTTTCACCAAGAAGAAGGTCGATGTGTATCCATATATTTTACCCGTATGTTAATAGTAGCATCCGGTTACTGAATAGCTAATCAGTCATGATTAAATATCTACCAAGAAGCTCCAAAAATCGAGTGAGAATTTCTACTTCAGCAACCAGGACGTTATATCTGGTAAATTTCTTGGTTGCTTTGTGTTATGGCCTGTTAACGTCCTGGTATTGGGGCCCTTAGATGTATATACTCGTGACTGAATCGGATTTCCGTAACCGGATGTTACTCTTGACATACTCATTACTGGTAAAATATTTGGATACAAAACGACCTCTTTCTTGGTGTCTTTATAACCTGGTGGACACAAGTGAACACCAGACGTAGATTCAGACGATTTCCAAACGTTTCCCCTGACGTCAGAGCTGTTCCCCATGCCCTCGCACGTCTTCACATTGCTGGCCATGGCTACCATCTAATTTTGACCTCCCCCTTGTCTCTGGATTGGCTATCCATACACCTACACCATACACCTCGGTGAGCTCTGTGAGGTTGATTTCCAGAGCGACGGGAGAGATGGCTTTCGGGAATGAGAGACGCTCTGATTTGTTGGTTAATATCACGTTTGATATAAATTGAATGGAGTCTGGAAGCTGCATGTTGGCATTAGCGGCTCGCTTTTCGTTGATTTCTATATTAATTTCACATTTAGATTTCAAAAAGTACATCAAGTAACAATGCTTCCTGACTGTAATGTATGTGACATGGTCATTTTTATATTTCATTTTTCATTGATCAATCCCCATTTAGTTATTAATTCTCAATACAAAAGGTCCCTAAGTAGGATGATTGCAGTTTCAATCTTTTGATTCCATGATCACTTTCAATTTTCTTTTATTCAAACCAAGTAGGTAACTGTTTACACTATAAACTATACTAAATAACATTCAAACAGAGGTTATGAATCCATAGACTTTGGTCAAAAGAGCAAATCCAAACGTCTGTTCATTCAAGTGTGACATTGGCAAATATATAACAAATTGTTTCCCCATCAATATAATTAAACTTTTAGTCCACTCTCAAGGGACTTGGCGACTCGCAGGACGGTGGCGTCTTCGTGGTGACGCCCTGTTATCATGGCACCAACTGGTAGCCCCTTTGAGTAGCCGGCATTCACTGAGATTGAGGGGTGGCCAGTGATGTTTGTGGCAGGTGAATTCTTTGAGACACCTTTTGCTTCTCTTAGCAACTCTGAAACATCAGAGATATGAATGTAACCAGAAATTGGAAAACAAGTTTAATTTCTGACTCCACGACCACATGATAGATTTCATTTCAGTTTTTAGAAAGCGAAGCAAAGAAAGAAAAAAAGAGAGAAAGAAAGAATGAAACAGGCAAAACCAGTAGACTTTAGATATTCATCTTTTAACTCGACAAAATCAATAATATTTGTGGAGAGGGAGTGGGTCAACCAGAAATAGAAGTACTTTTTGATAAGGTCTCTTAATTGGGTTTCTCCCTGAATTTGTTGAATAACCTACTCACCAGTTAAACCAAATGAAGCTTCTGGTAGTTTTCGTGCTGTGGATTGACACGTCGGCATTATCAAAACATCAACCTTCTTCAAAGCTTTGTTATATTCGTCCGTAAGCGCCTTGCAAAGATTTTGGGCTTTTCCATAGAACTTGCCGTCATAAAATCGCCTGGTGAATTCACCCCAAAGCGCATACGCCTGTCGAGTTATTGGTAAGTCAAATGGCCTTGTTCTAATTGCTTTTCTGTAGTGGTCAGTGATTGAGTTAGGGTAAAAACTCTTTCCCATACTTCCTCCTAAAACAAGGGCGTTCAATTGATACTAGTATAGTATTTATATATTTTATTTAAAAATTTAATGTAAATTTGTGTATTGTGTATTCCAAAATTTCTTACCCATAAACGACTGAATATAGATCCCTTCGCTGAGAGCAGCATAAAGGCAAACAGCTAAAACAGAAATATAATCTTATTCATTTTCTTTTATAGTATGTTGATTGTTAAGCAGTTGGTGGCGACTCAAAGAAGCAGATGTGGGATCGGCTGAACGAAGAAAATGATTCGATTCATAACTCGATATTCAGACTAGTTTTCAAAACTGTAGAACTTAGATTTATTCAACATAGGTTGGTTTCTACCGTCTGTGTGCATGGGTAGAGAGATATCTTCAACAGTTGCTCCAGCGTTACGGAGTACATCAGCTGTTGCCTTGACAACATCTACTACGTCATCCTCGCAACCATCAAACCCTTCTTTAGAAACCCAACCTTCATACCAGCTATTCCGAGCTCCAACTATACAAATGGAAATCAGTTGGGATATTAACGTTATCAATGTGGTAAAAATTGTGTTAAGGTTTGCATTTTGGATTCCTATTCGTCGCTTTTTAGTTTCAAATTACTATGTGAATATTCTGGAACTGCTCGACCTGTTAATGACCTTGAATCAAAACCGTCATACCCAGCCAAGACCTCCAGTAACAGGGCACAGTCGTCTACTGTTCGAGCCATTGGCCCAAGGTGATCAAGAGTACAATCCAAGAAGCATGAATCACTGTATGGTACAAGTCCGTATGTAGGTTTGAGGCCGACAATTCCACACCAGCTTGCTGGTATTCTAATCGACCCTCCTGAGTCTCCACCCAATGCTAAATCTACTTGTCCATTGGAAAGCTGAAAAAGACTGCATTTTTATTTTTTGTTTCATTACTCATGGGCGTCCGAAGGGAACGCGTTGAGTACGTTGAGCCAATTTATGAGTTACCTTTCCCAAGGGATTCCGTTACATTTTGCGATGTTTAAGTTTTTACAGTTAAATTTATGTACTACAGGGTGGGCCAAAAAATTTTGCAACTTTTTAAAAGGCTAGAAAAGTATCAAAACATAAGGGTATTGTCGTAAAAAAAATTTTTGACGTAGTATTACAAAGACGTGTTTTTCCTTACCAATGCTCCGGAACCTAAACTTGAACCTCCAGAGGATCTAGAAGGATCTGCAGGGTTTGTGACGGGTAAAGAAGACGTGAAACTATTACCATCAAGCGTCACATCTTCACACTGACTTTTGCCTGTGATTCTGCCACCTAAGGACACATGCGAACGTTTTAAGTTGAGTCCAACTCCTGTCCTTCAATTCGAAAATATGTTATGTATGTTTATTTGGTATTAACGGAAGATCCATCATTGCTTCGACGCTCCTTTTGGGTCAACTTTTATTGTCTGTTTGGCAAAAATAATTTTGGACAACTATATAGTGTCAGACTTTTTATTCTACCGTTTATTCTATTTCTGTAAAATTCCTGACCAAATTCTCTGAGCCAAATTTTGACCTCTTACATATGATCATTTCACCGTTGAGAAAACTCAGACAATTGATTTGTTCTATTTACCATTAAATCATTTCCCCTTTAATTTTATATTTTATTTACTATACGTGTCGCCAAAATTCCTACAACATTTAAATTTTGAAATTGAAAATACTGAAAAATTGTGGAAAAATCTGTTTTAACCTGCATCCAGTACTCTAGTCACGACAGTTGCATCAAATTCAGGTACGAAGCCTTGGAATATTTTACCACCGTTTGACATTGGGACTCCGGCAACTGCAATGTTATCTTTGATAGCAACTGTTTACCCTCATTTGCGCCTTGTATATCAGTTCTCCAAGCCCTGTAAACACCAAATTAACTCCATTACTTATTAATTCTCTAAATAGGTTTGCTCAATACATACAAATAGAAACGCTTCTATTCCATGTCCATAGTAACCAAATCAAGTTGACATCTCCCAGATAAAAGACAATGTGCATGATTATATAACTGTGCAGCCGAAATAATATAGTTGCTTAATTGCTTAATTTATTTTGATGTGACAGTGAAATATATAGGAATAAGGGTATCCGGAGCATGTTTTTAAATGTTTATGTCACTGGTAATTAGGTATTTACGTCCAAATCTAAATCAATATAGTCCTTTTAATCTTTATTATCTACAAGAGGCATATCTCTTCTTTGAATTAACCTGGCATAGAATAACTTTAATAGTCACGACACGTCTCTTACATACTCCTCCTACTTTAATGGGCCATTTTTATAAAAAAAATTTAGCCACAGCTGTACAAAATGAGAATGTGGCAATATACTTTGGACTAGCTTTGGACAAAATTGCATTGTTTCCACCGAATAAATCGTTGGGGTTAAAACTTGACAGATTCTGCCCTAAAATCACTTTTAAAGTGCTCGGAATTATGAAAAATTGCATGGTTTTGAAAAATGATGGTGAGTGGATACTGCTAGTGGGGTCGCTCTGAAAATCTTACCATGCATTGTTTGGATTATCATCCTTACTTGGACGGTGACCAGGAGTTCTTGGGTATTTAACTTCAAGTGTTGGCTCCACAAGCTCGCTGATTCTCTGGTATGCCTTCTGAGCACCTTTCATATGTTCTAGAAAAACATGGTACGCAATTCCCTAAAATTTCATGAAACTGTTATAATCGAAAGGAGCCCAAAGGAAATAACTAAACAAGCATAGTGTAACAAGCCAGATGCAGATTTTGAGAAAGGTGTAACGTCAACGCCCTGTGTGAGGATCGAACCAATGACCCTTAAATCCTAAGACTGATGTTCTATCAACTGAGCTATAAAGGCTTAATTCAATCGTCTAGTCGTTACGATACAAAATGGTTTGCCTTCCGATTGTAACATGTACTCACCGCGGTGTTGCAATAGCTCCTCATTTGTTAGTTGGAGTCCAAGGCCTTTAGATATACTCTTCAACTGATCCAACGTCGGTAGATTAATTGCTGGAGAAACATAGATACCGGCATCCTCTTTATTTTCACTCGACATCATGAAATACAGCAATAGTGTTTTAGTAATACTTCCTCAGGTTATTACTCAAGGTCGAGTTCTATGCGCTATACTATGTCACGTCGACATTCGTATTAGACTCACCGTTGCTATAAAAACGCAATAAAACGTATCGTGATAGAAAGGGGTCGTTTTATTAAGAGCTATACTGTTATTTCTATCGTATTGTCTGGGCTCTTGTGGCACTAGTCTGTAGCGAATTATTTATTTTATAAAAATAAATCTAAATACACTGAATTTCAAGATATATTGCCAATTACTTCAATTACGTTGGATTGGGACAGGGATGATATTAGGATTAGAACGATTATATCAGGGATGATATTGATATCATCCCGGGTAAATTCAAAAATTTTACATTTCTAAAAAAATCATTTTCATTTTTTCAAAAATTTTCATCAAGAATATCGATATGGCGAACTTAATTGAACACATGTTTCTCTTAATTCTCTTTACTTTCTTCCTTTTTCGCATTTGATTTATATTACAGATAAATATGATCTTGTTACAATACAATGGATTTCGTAATCGTTAGTACATCTGAAAAAAATAATCTATAAAGTATTGGTGAGGCAGTCGCCTGCCTCATGTTTGGGTTGGTCCCTGCGTAAAGTATTAACCAGTCCAACATTTGTTCATCCAAACATGTCATTGGCAAATACAGTGATAGCCTATGACGATCTAAGTCCACTCTCCAAAGATTTGGCTACTCGCAGGACAGTGTCGTCTTCATGATGTCGTCCTGTTATCATGGCACCAACTGGTAGACCCTCTGAGTAGCCAGCGTTTACCGAGATTGAGGGATGGCCAGTGATGTTGGCGGCCATTGTATTCGCTATCATACATTCCCCTTCTCTTAGCAACTCTGAAAATGTACAGATATGAGATATGAATATAACGAAGATATGAATTCGAAAAAGATATCCCTAAGGTAAACCAATATCCTAGATGCGAGTAGAAATAATTTTGATTTGCGTCATTAAAATTTCACAATTCAGTAAAACTGATGCCATATTTGGAATCTACATGTGAAATTACATCTAGAAATGTGGTTTTGAAAAGAGTTCATCAACTTTGAAAATTTAATTTAAATGTTACTTCTAGGTCGGGGAGATTCCCCATAGACCCCATGTTGTAAAACCACAAAAAGTGAAATGTCTTTTCTTGTGTGTGGCAGATAATATTTTCTTTTACTGGACATATTTTAATTTGTATAACTATCACATACATAAGGGTAATATGAAAAGTGAACCATTAAAATTGATGCATATTCAAGTTTAAGGGACTTTTTTAATACCCTGCCATGTTATTTCCCCCGAATCAGCCACCTGGTGGCGAAACTGGTAACTACCTACTCGAGGGACAAAGTCAAAATATCATAAATATTGCTTTTGGAATTGTAGAACTTTTTTATTTTGTTTTTACGATCAAGTTCCTATCCACAACGACTTATAGATGAACTAAATCATTACATACTGAACATGTTGCTGTGAAACTGACTGGGTCAACGGGAAATAAAAATAACGTTTTATCATACATGAATAAAAAGTTATGCATATGATCTGGTCCCTTAATATGTTTTGCTCATCAAATATGCCCTACTTACCAGCAATACCAAAGGAGGCTTCTGGCAGCTTCGGCGCTTTGAATTGACATGTTGGCATAATCAAAACATCAACCTTCTCCAAGGCTTTGTTATATTCATCCGTGAGAGCCTTGCAAAGATTTTGGGCTTTTCCATAAAACTTGCCATCGTAGAATCGCCTTGTGAAGTCACCCCAAAGCGCACTCGCCTGCACAGTTATTGGTAGGTCAAAGGGCCTTGCTTTAATTGCTTTTCTGTAGTGGTCAGTGATTGAATTAGGGTAAAATCCCTTTCCAATACTCCCCCCTAAAACAAATGCGTCCAATTAATAGTATATATTATTCTAAAGTTGTGTCATATGAATGTTAATATAAATATTTTACTTATTAGACTCCAGATGTAAATCTGGAGTCTATTGTTTTCGTCAGTATTCTTATTATTATTCTTTATTATTCTTTCCCAGTTTTCTCGATAACCATAAGGCTTCCAATAAAGATCATTATTCAGTCAATTTATGTCCAGTATCTAGTTCCTCGGAAATTGGGTCAATTTTTTATCTAGGTCGAAGGTCAAGAACTAGGTCAAATCTTACATTTTCAACCTTCTGTCTATTATCTTCGTCGTTATTTATCGAAACGTCTTCATCTTTTTTTCATCATGTAGCTTAGAAACAGCCCTTTCATAAGTGTGCCATCAGATTTTTGATTACTGTTACCGATTTTGAGATATGGCGTCCGGAAAGTAGGTCAGAACAGAAAGTTATCCAAATTCAACATATGAGTTATAAAGTAAGTGTAGAATGATCTCAGGAATCCGAATCTGCAAACCAAATTTGAATCGGACTTCCGGTTCGGAAGTTATGGCGTTTTGAAAGCTCAAAAATTGCTAAATTTGGTGCCCATGTTAAGTCAATGGGAAAAAAGATTTTTTTGAAGTGAAAAATACGAAATATAAACTGAGTTCAGCTAAATATAATGAAAGCTTTTAAAAGAATGGGACCTCAAAAGCCATCTAGCTTCAAAATTTGGACACCAAAATGCCTAGGTCAATATCTAGGTCAAGTTCAAAGTTTTTCCTTATTTTTGCGATTCTGACATTACACTTTAATTATATTCTTCGAAATTGTGTATACATGTAGCCAAGAATGTGCTAATAGTGTTAGCCTTTTGCCGTCAGAGAGTATTTTGACCCACTTTTGAGATATGGTGTCCGAAAAGTAGGTCAAAATAAAAGTTCTCCAAATTTAACATATGAGTTATGAATTAAGGGTAGAATTGTCTCAGAAATCCGAATCTGCAAACCAAATTTCGATCCAATTTCCGGCTCCGAAGTTATGGCGTGTCCGAAAAGTAGGTCAAAATTCGCCAAATTCAATGTATGAGTTATGAATTAGGGGTAGAATTTTGTCAGGAATCCGAATCTTCAAATCGAATTTCGATCCGACTTCCAGTTCGGAAGTTATGGCGTTTTGAAATTTCGGAAAATCGATCTGATGGTATCCTGATAGAAAGTCAAGAGTAGAGAAGAAAATATTGAAAAATGCATCCATCCTTCCTATCTGATCCTATCCTATCCTTCCTATATCCTTCCTTCGTATCTTTTCCTTCCTATCCTCTCCTATCATATCTTTTCTTCCTATTCTGTTCTATCCTATCCTTCTTTCTTATTCTATCCTATCGTTCCTTCCTATTCTATCCTATCCTACCTTCCTATTTTATTCATCCATCTTTTTCTGGATGACTCCGCTTATTCTGGATGACTCGGCTAAAAATGGTCTAAATCTGGAGTCTGAAATTGAACTTCGTTCAATTTCCAAAGTCTAGTTATTTTTCTAAACACGTTTTCTCCTTAACTAGAAGACATTGAGTCAAGTCCTGTATATGGTCAATTTAGGTCCAGTATCTAGTTTCTCGGAAATTGGGTCAATTTTTTATCTAGGTCAAAGGTCAAGAACTAGGTCAAATCTTACATTTGTCTATTATCTTTGTCGTTATTTGTCAAAACGTCTTCATCTTTTTTTCATCATGTAGCTTAGAAACAGCGCTTTCATAAGTGTGCCATCCGTTTTTTGATTACTCTTACCGATTTTGAAATATGGCGTCCAGAAAGTAGGTCAAAATAAAAAGTTTTCCAAATTTAACATATGAGTTATGAATTAGGGGAAGAATTTTGTCGGGAATCCGAATCTGCAAACCAAATTTAAATCTGACTTCCGGTTCGAAAGTTATGGCGTTTTGAAATTTCAAGAAAAATCGATCTGATGATATCCTGATAGAAAGTCAAGAGTAGCGAAGAAAATATAGAAAAAATCATCCATCCTTCCTTCCTATCCTGTCTGATCATATCCTTCCTATCTATCCTTCCTTCCTATCCTTTCTTTCCAATCCTATCCTTCCTTCCTATCCTATCCTATCCTAAAACTGGGTCAAATCTTACATTTTCAACCTTCTGTCTATTATCTTCGTCGTTCTTTATCGAAACGTCTTCGACTTTTTTTCATCATGTAGCTTAGAAAAAGCCCTTTCATAAATGTCCCTGTTTTTTTTTTATTACTCTTACGGATTTTGAAATATGGAGTCCAGAAAGTAGGTCAAAACTAAAGTTCTCCAAATTCAAAGGTATGAGTTATGAATTAGGGGTAGAATTTCGTCAGGAATCCGAATCTGCAAACCAAACTTCGATCCGACTCTCGGTTCGGAAGTTATGGCGTTTTGAAAGCTCAAAAATCGCTAAATTTGGTGCCCATGTTAAGTCAATGGGAAAAAAGATTTTTTTGAAGTGAAAAATACGAAATATAGACTGAGTACAGCTTAATATAATGAATGCCTTTGAAAGAAGGGGACCTCAAAAGCCACATAGCTTCAAAATTCAGACACAAAAATGGCAAAATCTAGGTCAAATTCAAAGCTTTTCCTTATTTTTACGATTCTGACACTACACCTAAATAATATTCTTCGAAATTGTGTATATATGTAGCCAAGAGTGTGATAATAGTGTTAGCCTTTTGCCGTCAGAAAGTATTTTGACCCACTTTTGAGATATGGTGTCCGAAAAGTAGGTCAAAATAAAAAGTTCTCCAAATTTGACGTTTGAGTTATGAGTTAAGTGTAGAATTTTCTCAGGAATCCGAATCTGCAAACCAAATTTAAATTTCACTTCCGGTTCGAAAGTTATGGCGTTTTGAAATTTCGAGAAAAATGGATCTGATGATATCCTGATAGAAAGTCAAGAGTAGCGAAAAAAATATTGAAAAATGCATCCGTCCTTCCTTCCTATCCTGTCTGATCCTATCCTTCCTTCCTATCCTATCTTTCCTTTTCTCTCCTATCCTATCCTTCTTTCCTATTCTATCCTATCGTTCCCATCCATCTTATTTTGGATGACTCGGCTTATTCTG